AACTGAACCAGATATATAGCGTGCCTCAACATATATTGTAAATATGTCAGCAACATCCAGTATATTTGATGTCCATGTATGCAGCTATTGAGATGCCTGGCTAAGGGATATTTGTTTGGTTTAGTACAATCATTTTGTTTGAGCAAAGTAGCGACTCAGAATAGGTGGTTCATCTATTTTTATTCTAAAATAATTAATTCTGTCAGCATATCTACGTATATAAATTTGAAGAAATGATGAAAATTTTATAGCTTGTCCGTAATTAAGATATAATGAGGCATGTGCCAAACATATGTTGGTACCTAATATCATTTTTATGTTGTTTTTACATCAAATCATAATACAACTTACGTATGTTGTTGTATTGGGGCATAATGTGTGTACATCTATTTATAGCTAAGTCCAGTGCTAGTGAATCCCTAACTAGTTTTGTGGTACAGTTTGATAAGTTTCCGATGATGCACCTATTTGTGTGGGAAAATTGTTGAAGACGGAAGTATCTATGAACCATGGATATCATATTTGAACCACGAATAATTAAGGTGTAACTACGTACTACCTAATGATCTATGCATAACAAGAACATGTGTACTTATATCATGTGCTTAATTAATGTGCATCTGGAAATGTAAACTAGGACTCAAACTAAGTTCAAAATGCAACCTTTCTGCATTGGTGCCGGATTATGCGGGGTGGTAAATAAGTATACATGATTATTATTTTACAACTTTTCAGAATTGTTCTGCTGACTGCTAGTTAATAAACATAAGGTCTGTACTGAATGGTTCATATCTCTTGAACTATCAATTTGTACATGAACTGTACATGCAGTGATGTATGTAGTTGGTGCAATTATTATATTTATAGATCCAGTATAGAAGGATGGAACTAACAAGAATCTGAGCCATTTCATGCGAAATTACGGAAATTTTCATGTGCATTCATATAAACATAGATCCTTGATATCACATCATGTATAGTTTGAAAGTTGTACGGTTATTAACACATGACACATCACTTACTAGATTTGGTTTTGGTTAGTAAACATGATCTCCAAAATGTGGCATTATCGCTGGAAAATAGTTGAAAGAGAAGAAATATATATGTGACAAATTTATAATATGAGTTTCTATCGCCTTAATGTTGTTTGCACATGTCGAAAAGTATGACTACCTCGAAACTAAGAGTGTGTGTGCAGTGCAGTCAAGAATTTGTAAATTTGACTCATTATATAATTCTCTTGATTCGTTATTTTTTGTGGGTAACCCCCTTGATTTGTCTGGTGAAATAATATAGCCAGCAACAGATACACAATAGTTTGAACATATAGGTGGGCATTTATATAACTTGCACACGTAATCAGTATATACTGCATGCATGTGCTTACTTGCCAATGATC